ATTTATTAACAAAATACTTTAAACTCTTTTGCAAAACTTTTTATTTTTTATTTTTTAAATTTTCTCTTTTTTGGGGGGTTTGCTAGCCCACTCCTGTCCAAACCCGCCTAAACAGGATTACTAATCCATATTATACAATCTATTCTTATTTTATTGTAATTACAAATTTGTATTCTTTGTAAATTTACACAAATTTGTTCAACGTCGCTTCTGATTTTCAGATAGATTTACAAAGTACAACAACTACCTGTGACATTTTTTTAGTTGTCACTTCTCTTATCTATAATACCCTCTTATTTGTCACACCCATTATTTTCACATTCTTTAATCTGTCACACCCTCTTATTTGTCATACCCTATATCATTCTAATCCGATAGGACTCAGGAATCTCTATATCAAATTTATTTTTAAATCCAAAACAATCATGCTGACTTCGATTGATCAAGAACCTGATCAATATGATTTGGATTATTTTCTAGCTAAATATAGTGACCGTTTTGGTATCATGGCTAAAGAAAGCAACCTACAACAAATTAAGCCTATTTAATTTGCTGTACACCCAACTGAATGCAATAGAAAAAACAAAATTCACTATTTTAAAGCACCTCATCAACCTTCTGTTATTCAATGCCTCTGTAAAACCTATCATACTCTATTTACCTCTTGTCACTATCCAAGATCTATAACACCTTCTCCGACTTCTGGTTCTGGTTCTGCTACTCCTATGGATATAACTCCAAATCAATTCAAAAAAACTAAAGAAACTATTCCTCAATCACCTGTTACTAAAATCCTGCCATTCCCTTTTAATTACGATAGTTCATTTGTAGCCACTTCCTCAACTTTTACAAATCTTGAACCTAATACTGTAGCTATTACAGCTCATACACAACATACTCATATCTGTATTATTTGTCACAAATCCAATATCCCTTGTGTTTTCTTTAGCAACAAAAAGCATTTTCTTGACTCTACCGCTAAAATTCTTTGTAGATTTCCTGTATACCCTGCTTGTATCCCAAATCTCAAATTGAAGCCAGCAACTCAAACCAACCTAAGTTAGCAACAACGATCTGCCTTCCTTGTTACTAAATTTTTTCTTATGAACAA